ACGGGACGTCCGGCGGAATCCATGGTGGCGTGTGTGTGAACAGAGAGTTGTTGTGGGCGCTGTTGCGCCAAAGCCGTTTGAAGTGAACCAGCTCTTGAACTTTGTTCTCAGCTACCATATCTCTGAGTTTGAGTAGGCGCTTGTCGCCAATTTGCTGTGCTCATGCTTGCAGGCATGAACAGCGTGAATGAAAAGGGAGTCTGACTTTCACTAATAATAATAATAATAATAATAATAATAATAATATAATACATGCAAGGAAGATGAGCAATATCAACTTCGGCAGTCAAACAATCATCACATACATAGACCAGATAGTTGTGATTTCGAACCAACAGCAGAATTTCATCACAAGATTCACCAAATAAGAGCACAACAAAAGCTCATAGTTGATAATGCTGGAATAGTCTCATCTTCATCAACGAAGAACCAATGTTGGCATCCTATCTGGCGCCCGGCGCCCAGACTACAGATGGCAGGTCCTATCTAGCCTATACTGCAATGCTGAAGATTTTGATAGCAGCTCTCCCGCAATACGAGCAGGCAGTGGCCAATGCCGCCTGCTTCAGGCACCAGGTAAGTCTCGCACACCACTCACTACCTCGATCCCCAATACACAGAAGCCACTTGTACCCAAGGACAATTATGCACCTAATAATAATAATAAGAATAAGAATAAATAATAATAATAATAATAATAATAATAATAATAATAATAAGCAACAGCGAGATGACAATTCCATATTACGCCATCACATTGAAGCCAACTAGTCACACCGTGTCTGAAGAGCAGCATTGCACCAATAATACACTAATGGAGGTTCGTAGCATTGAAAACCAATGGCCATGGAGAGTATACTCTCTCCTCTCAACAGAAGAGTCCAGTTCCTTCACACTCACACTTGGTGTCAGCGCCCAGTCTGCTCCTACACAGCTACTACAAACTTCAAAAAAAGACAATGCAACTGTTGACATCAGCGGCAACCCGACGTACTTGAAGATGTCGCCCATGCAGACCACCGCCAATACAAGGTAAGTGCCCTCACTTCATCATCATCATCATTCCTCTCTCCCTCTCTCTCTCTCTCACTTTCTCTCTCTCTCTCACTTTCTCTCTCTCTCTCTCTTTCCTTCGTCGAATCATGTACGTCTCACACAGGCACATCCGATCGATAGGACGAGCAAACGGAATGAATCTTCCGCTGAAACGTGGAAATACACACTGCCACTTTTTGTTTTGCTCGCTCTATCGGTCCAAGTAGCATGCGGCGAGCCGTGGGGTTGGAGACTTATAGGCTCTCTCTCTCTCTCTCTCTCTCTCTCTCTCTCTCTCTCTCTCTCTCTCTCTCTCTCTCTCTCTCTCTCTCTCTCTCT